CATGGTACACAAGCTGGGTGTTCGAGTTATCATACGCCGTCATCTCAGAATTCCATTGTGAGATACGCGGCAGCTTTCGGGATGAATTTTAGCGCGAGAGGCGTTGATGTGACTTTTGAGGTCGGTGAATGGAGGCAGCTAAACTTGTTTGTGCTCATACGGTCTTTGTTAGCTACATGCGAGATACCTTGCAATAGAGAATGCTGTATAGTACCGATAACGCGTTTCAGCCGGGTGAAATATTATGTTTGGTCCGTTACACACTCAAGGCCTGGGAGTTCGAGTTATCATACGCCGTCATCTAAGAACTCAAATATGAGGTACGCGGTACCTTTTGCGATGAAATTTAGCGCGAGAGGCGTTGATGTGACTTTGGCCTCGGTCAATTGAGGCAGCCAAACTTGTTTGCGCTCATACGATTTTTGTTGGCTACATGCGAGATACCTTGCAATAGAGAATGCTGTATAGTACCTATAACGCGTTTCAGCCAGGCGAGATATTATGTTTGGTCCGTTACACACACACACACACACACACACACACACACACACACACACACACACACACGGACATGGGCAATCCTACAGGTCGGGGCCCCCCTGGGCGCTTCGCGCTGGGGCCCCGCCCAAAAACAAACAATCTTGAATTGTATTATTAACCCACGCACCAACTTACCTAGTTTTCAGCCGTGAGTCAGGCCAATTTACTGCATACAGGGAAAGCAAGCAGGTTCGTGCACAAGTTGCGCCACACATACATTCACATAGCAGCTGGTGTGTGTGTGTGTGTGTCTCAAGCAGCGAAAGGAATACTGTTTAATAGGACTTCCTGAATGCAATACCCCTGCCGATCGGCAGCTAGCAACTCCGCCGAACCCGTGATGGTGGCATACCGCCGCACACCAGCCTGTTCCAAGCCCGGGAGATATGATCACGTTTTGCGGTGGTTGAATCCTTGCTTGCTTGCCTTGTATGTGAGCGCTTTGCCAGAGTGGTTATACTGTCTCGACTGGGTATATATAGCTAGTGCCTGCTGTGTGGCATCCGAGGTGTCTGAGACATCTTTCCCCAGCGCTTTTTTTGGAAGGCGCTGGGTACAGCCGACAGCGTAATAATGCATATTTGTTTGAATGCTTCCACCGCCATTTCCAAAGTCCAGGGTGCGCACATACGTCTCCTATCTGGGATATGCAATGCATGTTGGTGTTACCCTTGGAATGCCGCCGCTAATGCATGGGGAATTTTTCCCTCTACACCTGCTACCTCACATGTACACGGTGCGCTAAAAGCTGCAGGAACTGGAATAGTAGGTCTCTGGGACGCTTGTGCCAGGAGGGCTACTGTGCAACGTGTCCTTTTTCCAGAGGCGCCATGTGGCATGCGAAAGTGACAGTATTACAACTGCTGCTGCTGCTGCTGCTCGTGGCGGCGACAGGAGGTAAGCATACCCTGCATGATGAAGCGAAGATTTTACTTCAATTTTATTTTTTCTTACATGATTTACATGATTTTATTTTTTAGCTATCTGCAAGACCGTTCTGTTCAATGGCTGATGCAACAGTAATACAACTTCTGCCATAACGTTCCATGTATGTACTAACGTAGATCTACTCGAAGGGTCTCCCTCGCTCGCTAATATCAACGCAATAATGATCCGCTGTTGTCAAGGAAAGGGCATACCTAATGACAGATCCATCCAGCACGCCGATAACAGTAAAAACGTGCTAGTGCATGCGTAGAAGGCGGGGCCCGTCTGTAGTTGTTACCACGACTACAACTGCCATAGAGAAGTACCGATCGGCTGATGCAGGTCCCTTGGTATGACCAGGATACAACAGTAGTACTACTGTTGTACTACTAGTACCCGGGGATTATAATGTAGGCAAAGCCACACGGATGAGTACGGATGAGTACGGATGAGTACGGATGAGTACGGATGCACCTGTTGCATTTAAAGTCGGTTGCAAACCCAGTCGTCATTCTATCCATTCAACGCTGACTCGACATCCCCGGCCAAATACTTGCCAAGACTTAAGCTTTGGCCAAATCAAGCCTCAATGCAGCGCAGCCAAGCCCCCCTGTGCCCTAACTTATCACCACAGGACAGTGCCGAATGTTTCGCACCGGATTTAATGGTGCACACAGTAATGCTGAAAGCTCCGCGACAGTGGGTAGCCTCCGTCGCACCGTAGCACCCACCGACGCCGTCATCTTGCGGGGTGAACTTGTTGCTGTGGTCAGCCATAACGATGGAACGCAGCAATGGGCCATTCGTAATGGTGACGGCGTCATGACACCTATCGCCCGAGACTTTGAGCCGCCCAAAGCGGACGTCAATGGCCGGGATATGCAGCTGGGCGCTGTGGTGAAAATTGTAAGTTACTTCCTGGACCACTTACCGTACTTTGACCCCTTGTAGTTCCCTACGGAAGCAGCATTTTCATAGTCCTGCTGCAGCTACATTGTAGCTATGAGGAGTAAGGCAAACTGAAGCACGCATGCCTTTAGGCGCCACTAAAATGCCATACGGCTTTTAAGGTATGACTGATACGCGCATGGCGGATACGTCCCATCGACGCCCCCAGGTGTCTTATGCCTATGATGCACGCGACGGCTGCGGCCTTACTAAGTCGTTAGTAACCTGCTGTATTCTTTCTGCGCTTCCTGCTTTAAAGGCCACTTATTAGTTTGAAAAAAAGCTTACATAAAGCGAATCGCATGTTTTTGAGTTCTTCATGTGCTCGGCACGCACCTCCGCAGGCGTGCTACAAGGACGCCGCTGGCGTGTGCTACCCAGTTTCGAACACCAGCATTTCAGTCATTCCTTCAAGGTCCATGCTTTTGACAGCGGACACCGACCCGGTTTACCAGCGCTTGCTGGTTATGATTATGGATTACTCACTATGTGGTTTTCCATCTACAATTACGGAAGCCGAGGCGCGCGCTATTTTTCTGGGCCCGGATGGAGACGGCAGCGGTGGAGTCGCGCAAAAGTACACCCAGTGCTCGTACGGGAAGTTCAGCCTGAATGTGACAGCTTTCCGGGTCGTCACCGTGAAGAAGAGCTGCACAGCCACCACCGTATCTTATTGCAGCTGGTGGACTATGTCCCTTGATGGCGACACCGGTGCAGAGGCGATTTTAGGGCAGGAGGCGTTTTCTGACGTGACCCATTTCGCTTACATCGTACCGCCTCGTGTGCGTTGCCCTTGGGGGGGCCTGTCAATGGTACCGGGGAGGCAGATCTGGCTGGCGACTTCGGATTACGGCGTGCGGCGCTGGGCCACCATCATGCAGGAGACGCTTCACAACTACGGTACGCAAGCAAGTAGGAAAGTCTGGCCGGTGAATAATAATAATAATCGTCCCCTTACCAAAGCGCGATCCAAAGATAGCTTTTAAGTGGGTATGTAAGTCTGGAACGTTTCCGATAGTCGATAGATCGTGCCCTGCATGAAATTTTGCAATTCCTTTTAGTGCAAGATTATTTGATTCTGTGGCACCTGTAATTGATAGGTACCTTTCCAACCTATTAATAGGAATAATATTATTCCTGGCCACGACCTATAAACCATAATACTGACGTACATGAGCGCCCGCATAAAATTGTTATTACTTACCGGCGGTCCCTTCCGGGAACTCCCACTGCTCGTTTGAAACATCTTGAGCTGGATATGCCCACACCTAACGCACCTGCGTCGCTAATTTGTATGCTTTCCCCACCCAGGTCTTTCGCACTCCTGGCAAAACGGCATCATGTACGGAGACAATTCAACTGCCATGGGCCATGGAGATGTCTGCCCCAACGCCGCCGAGATTTCTCGTATGGGCTGGGCTACACCTGCTGCACCGGGGGGCGACCGTATCGACTCCAGCGCCTTGCCACTCGGCAGCGTCCTCAGCTTCACCCTGCCAGCCACCTACCTGACCTCAGAGGGAAACTACCTCCGAGTGGTTCCGGACTGGCTGCCTACGTACACTACTGCCTCCTTGGCCAAGAACCTCTACATTGCAGTACGCGTGAACAAGAGTGGAGATGAATTGTTAGGCTCCTTCTATGCGAATAATTTGAATATTCACGAAGTGAATGCAACCATGGTATGCGAGTCCTTATCTAGGCTATTGTCGTATCTATCTACCTTGCATCCATTGTGCAAATACTTGCGGTAGCTTGCTGTGAATTCTTAAGATTTGCCCTGGAACACGCGGCCTCATGTCTGTGTATGTTGCACCTCCTATCGATTGCGTTACCCAGCCAGATAGAGATGCCAGAGGCCCAAGAGCCCAGCTAGAAGCCACAAGTTAGATAAGGGACACAGTACAACGCAGAAGTTTAAATACCCAGGCAATATACACAACGTGCTAACAACAGCAAAAAATAACATCAACCGTGCTGTATTCCCATATCTGCAACCGTGGTTATTATTCTTCGCTGATTAATCCTTATTCACACACACACACCCACACACCATCCCTTTCCGCTGCGTCAGGACAACGGCTACCCAGACACTTGGGCAAACAGTGACCGCAAGACAACGTTCATCGCTGCTATCGAGCCAAATAGCCAGAGAGACCTTACTGACTACAAACTCTCAGTGTACGGCGGATCCTGGGTAAGCACGGACATCCTACGGGTGTACCTCTGCCGCTATCAGTCCTCAGCCGCCGAATGCCCCACCCTGGAGTACCTTGAAACACGCCGGTCAGCACTACCCAGCCCGCAGCCGCCTAGGCCATCAACGACATGGAAACTGCAGTCACCTCCCCATCCCCGGCCACCAAGCCCTCGCCGGCCGCCACCAGGGCCTTTGGCACCCAAGCTGGTCAACCCGTCTCCCAGACAACTGCTTACGTGAGCCACGTGCTCACAAGGCTTGTCCACTGTCGTACTACAGCAGCTCCAGCAGTTCTTGTAGCCATGTACCCAGTCCATTTATCACTGCTCATCGAGACGTGTTTGGCCCAGTCGGCTGCTGCTAGGGGCCCAGTTGGCTGCAGCAAATTTAGTGACATATGGGGCGTTCGTTGTCCGCAGCCAATCAACACAGTAAGGAATAAAATCGCTGCTCCAACCAAGCCTTTGTTCGTTAATTGATGGCGGCGGCGCTATGATTGTGAATAGCTGACTCCCTCCCAAGCTTGCAAGCCCGCACACACGAGGCCTCCCTGTTGCGTGCTTCTGCCGGGGACACGTAAGATGTGCACGGAGCAAGACAGCGTCCTTTCGTAATCTTGCTTCGGACGCCTAGCTATTTAAGCCCGTCCGTTGCTATCTATGGGAGCGAATTTGTAGATAGGATTAAGGGTTGCAGTGTGCAGTGTGATGTGGATGCTGATATCAGCATCCATCGATGGGAGATGCATGTGGATATTGTTAGTTTTCTTGCGTAGTTGTCTTACCGCTTAGGGGTCGTACAGACGGAGGGGTACCTGCAGGCAGGAAAGTTGTGCTTGCTTCCGGGGAGGTGGGGGGCGAGCCTGGTTACCGATGCAACGTCGCAGAAGCAGAGTCGATATGCTTCTGTACGCTGTAGATTAGGGCAGAAGCCGCAACAGAAACCTGTCAGACTGACACTGTGGACTCGCGAAATTACTCTTTCCGTCGCATTCCTGCGACTTGCGCTAGCCCTGTACGGTCCAGCCGTACGCACCAACGACATTCAACCGAGTACGTTCTCGGCGAAACCTTGGATTTTTCTTTCGTTTCACTCAGGAAACCTACAGCATTTTAGGATAGCAGAAGTAAGACGCGGAAAAGGCAGCTGCAGGGTAACTATTAATGTTGCTGTGAGTTGTGCATGCATGCATGCATGTATGTGTTATATCACGACTTCAGAAAAGTCGTGATATAACATGCAAACAGCATATGCATGGAACAGGTCGATGCATGCATGCTTCCATTCACCCAGCAGCCAGCTGCTGATGAACTACTTTTGTTTGGTAGAACCCAATCCCCCATTAAAAAAACGTAATAGCTCAGAACCCCATAAACTTAGCTAAGTGTACATCGCCAGGCCACGTGCTGCGGTGGTTTGATAATAGTCATAATTCTGAGATTAAATAATGATTGTAAGAGGTGTTTGCTGCATGCGTATGTAGTAACTGGCCGCTGAAAAGGCCTCTCGAGATGCTGGGGTGGACGCGCTTAGCGCGTATTTGTAGTTGTTCACGGTGCCGTACAGTGTACCGGCTACTACAGCGTATTGCAAAATCAATTGATTGCAATCAAGGCAATTGCCTTGCTTTTCCTTTGCTAGCTAATGCGTAATGTTTACCCTCTATATGGATATCTATGTCTATATGTATATACATCTACATACATGTATATGTATATGTGTATGATTTGGAGAGGGGCATCAATCCCTGGTTTTGCCTATTTTTTCCCTGTGCTAATCATCGAGCCAAGTCAGCTTCAGATTATTCAGAAGATATTGTTGATTCTTCGTTTGTGAGTGTCTATCCGACCGCAGCTTGCGTTGTTGGCTTTATACAAGCTATCCGACCGCGGTTTCGTACGTGCTTTAAAGAATGTACGTACGAATATAATGAAATTTTCATTATATTTGCTTTAAGACTCTTGCTTCATAATACACCACGGTGAGTGGAAGAGTCTACAAATCTTTGTGTTATATATTGTATGGTGACACAGAGGGTGGCGAGACGGAAGGTGCATGGATAATATTCTAGTTAGTATATACGCGCACACGGCGAGTAGTAGCCAGCTGATACGATGACATGCAGTCTACGGTGGTGGTCCCTGGGAAGTGCTCGATCGAGCACTTGCGCATGCGGAGCTCTGCATGTGTGTGTGTATGTATGTGTGTGTATGTGTGTGTGTGTGTGTGTGTGTGTGTGCAATATAATTAATTATCGCCATACACAGAAAGCTTTGTTTGCTTCCTGCTGTTAGCCGCAATGCCAGTTGCAAATCCCATCCATCGTGCCTTACTTATTTGATTGTCCATGAACATGTCATTTTTATGTAATATCGTGCCATGCATAATAAGTCACATAGGTGCATTCGGGTACACACATGCATATGCACTATGCAATCTGCCTTTGTTTTAGATGGTAGAAATTTCTGTTGGTATGCAGATCATACACTGAGGTGTATGTATGGTGGTAAATTGATATGATGGATGGGGTGTGTGTATTTGTTGTAGGTGCCCTACAAACGCGGAGGGGGGTTAAGAAACTTAGGAGAATGCTTAAGAACGATAAGAACGTCTGAAGAACACGGAGGCAGCGGGTGTGCATTCTTAATCATTCTTACACTGGGATTAAGCGGTTTTATGTAAGTATGTCATATAAGTATGAATTAAGAATGCATCAGCCATGAAAACATTATGTAATTAATGCCGGATGGAGCTCTTATAATTCCCGGATAGGTAATACATCACAGTGATTGCAAAACAGTGAATATACCATGAAATTTCATGAAAACCATCGACATGTGTCTGGGTGTAATAATACGAGACAGGCCTCTTAGATTAATCTAACAGATTCACTCAACAGATTCACTCATCATGATCATGATAAGCGAATTCATAACCTATAATCAAATCACCTATGAATCACCTTGCATATGTGTGTATTACATGTACATGGCTAGCTGCAGGTAAAACTACCCATACAATCATAGCTTGCGAGCTGAAGGCCCTGGGGCAATACCTGTACACCTAGAAGCCACGGAGAACAGGAAACACCGCACTGTCATACTCCTGGCATCTGGTGGGGCTGACGTGTGCAGCCAGGATCTGGGGCAGGGTAGGCTCCGGCAGTGCCTGAATGGCAGAGGAAGATAGGTGAGGTAGGCGTGATGGGGAGAGGAGACAGGACCCAGGCGCGGGGCAAGCCTACCGGGTGGGCAGCATCAGAGAGACCGGGAGCTTGAGACAAGTCCAGAGTGGGGATCAGGCCCACGGAGGGGGCGAGGGGGTGGGGCCAAGGAAGTAAGGAAGATGACGAGCCAAGGCGGAGCACCACAGGTAGGGCCGGGGGTACCCTGCCCCAGATCCTGGCCGTGCACATCAGCCCCACTTCCGTACCCTCCACCGTACTGGATCCGCCTTCCAGCCGCCAGATCTATACCGTCGCCCTCACGAAGGCTGCCACCGTCTGCAACAACCCGTTGGCTCGTGAAACCATTGCCCGCCAGGAGGCTGCTGGCTGTGACCTCTCTGCCTGGCTGGCCACCCTGCCCCATGGCTGTACCCTGCTGTCCTGCACTGATGACGACCTGCTCGTCTACTTGGAGGCCCGCTGGCTCCCCAACCGTCGGGTGAACAATCCGAGTCCCAACACCGTCAACAATCATCTGGGTCTGCTCTCCGGACTGTTTAACCGCTTGGGCCACGGCAGCACTTACGACTGTGGAACCGGCATCGGCAACCCCTGCTGCTCCAGCGCCTGTCCTCCTACAAGACTGGCTATAGTCGCCTCGCCGCCGACTGTGGCTACGAGGAGCAAGCCGCCGTGCCCCTTACCCCTCGCGATTTTACCACCCTCATGGATCACCTCTGGTCCGGATTCCAGGCTTCCACCACCTCCCTAGCCCGCCTGCTGTTGCTACACGATATGTTGTGCTGCCAATTTATGCGGCACACCAGCTACCGCGGCCATGACACAGGCAAACTGTGGCTACATGATTTCTGTGACCCGCAGGGTGGTGGTCCCTTCCGTGAAATACCGGACCCATTCGGTGCCTACCCCTCCCTCTCCTTACGGATTGAGCAACTTGGGACCAAAACATCCAAAGGGCGCCGAGCTCCCCCTTTGGAACTGCACCCCAGCCCTTCTCCACGACATTGCTTCATCCGCACCCTCGCCCTCTATTGGCAGCTGTGCCATGCCCCCCATGCCCCCCCAGGGTCCGCCATCTCCGACTACCTCTTCCATCCCACTGACCGGGATCACCAACACTTCGTGGAGCGCCCGTTTTCCAGCAGCACTTTGGCCATGCGAGTGGGCAAACACCTGGAGGAGGCTGGTGTTTACATCAGGCAAACCCCTCATGGGTTTCGTCGTGGTATTATCCAGGCCACGCCGGCCGCTGGCGCCTCCCACGAGGAGCTCCACACCTTCTCCCAGATCCGCAGCCCTCAAGTCCTGGAGCGCTACACCGACGCCTCTCGGCCCACTCGTGTCCCTCGCGGCTCCGGTCCCCAATCCTAGCCTCCGCCTCCTGCTGGTGCTGCCCCTCTTAGCCCTGGTGCTCACTTCGTGGCTCGTCCTCCGCCCTTTCCCCACCACATCGACGGGCGGGTGGGCGGGGTTCTGACTTGTGCTTGCTTGCACAGTTATCGGGCGATCTTGTGTTGTCTGAAGTTAGCGCCTTGTTCCCAGCTAATCTTTGTAACGAACTAGGGTATCCGTCCCTGTCCTCTGCCCAGCTCTGGGCTGCGAATTCCTGCACCACACTTGCCGTACCGCACTACAGGACGAGCACTTAATCAACATGCATTGCTTAAATGTCAGCGTGTGATCCGTACTCCCTACTAACTTTCTGTGGGGAAGGCCATTGCGTCTGCGACCACACTCCCGCGGTACCCAAACCCTTCAAAGATAACTCCGACCAGCCCCAAAACACACAGCGGAGCGGTCTCCCCTTCCCCACTCACTTCCCAGGTGGTACCCTGGGTCCTCTCGCTCACCAGCCCCTCCTCCCCTTGGCCCTTGTGACATCTGCCAGGTGTTCTTGCTGCACAGGCCGGTATTTCAGGAAACAATTAAAGTACCTCGGATGGATGTAGAGGCGCAGCTTGCCCTCCTTTCCCACCACTCGCAGGCCGTTGATAAGCGTGGGTGTAGTGCATTAGCTGGGCATTCCAGTCTCCCACCGCAGAGAGCCGTGCTTAACTCGGCTGTAACGACGCAGCTGTAGGAACTGCACTGCATGCGGCCGGTGACCTGCCATTATTATTTCCGGGTTGCAGTCCAGCATCGCGACCTGCAGCAACTCCTGCACAATAGCTAGCTTGCAGTCCCGCTCAGGCACTATTTGTTGTCCTGGGTGTTTGCATGACACCCACTCCAGCTGGGGCCCTCCCTCCAGGTGGCCTAGCCAACGTCTCTGTCTGTGAGGGGGCAGCCTTCTTTAGCTGCCTGGAAGAACTCTCACCACACTGCTACATGTGTAAGTAGCTTTCCTGGCTGGTAGTCCTCGGATCCGGAAGCAAAAGATGATCTCTTCTACAACTCTTGCTCATTCTGCTGATCTACTGTGTAGCAGCCGGTACACAGTACGGTGCTATAAATACGCGCAGAGCGCGACCGCCAACAACTCGAGAGACCTTTTCAGCGGTCAGCTGCTACATTTGGTATCGAGACCTCGTGAAAAATCACGGTCCTGAAGTCGTCGGTTCAACCCCCACCGAACACGTTCGAGTGGTATATCGGGTGTGGCGACTCAGAGAGCGAGTATTGTACAAATATACAAAAAAAAGTAGCTGAACCGACTGGACTGTCTCTGTGCCTGAAAAATCTGAAGACGGCTAGGCGCATGTGAGCCGGCACATGACGTGACGTGGAGTAATTACCCACTGCCCGAGGGTAGGAGAAGGTAGGCACAGGCTGGCGGTATACGAGGCTCTCAGGGCCCGGGACGGTTCCCTTCAAAGGGGGGGGAATGTAGCAGCCGGTACACAGTACGGTGCTATAAATACGCGCAGAGCGCGACCGCCAGCAACTCGAGAGACCTTTTCAGCGGTCAGCTGCTACATACTGTGTCATGTCACCCTAGTGGCTGTAGCCTCTGTCCGGCCTCCTGTAGCAGCTGTATGCCTCGCTGCATGCTTCCTTGGGTGTCCCCGCTCCCCTTGCTGGTGTTCGTCCTGCGACGCCGGGTTCTCCCCTTTCTGCTCCTCACTCACCCACTTGCTGCCTTCACAAGGGTCATCGTTTCACGACAGCAGTTCGTCCAGATCAGCTCCCTCCTCCTCCCGGGTGTCCGTGTGGTAGCCAGTGCTAGATCCTCCGGCTCCTTCCCCTTCTATCCCTTGCTTGATCACAGTCAACACAGTAAGCCTGGGCCTCTGGGCTTGGGTCTCCTTGCGTGGCGCCTCGTTGCAGCTAACCAGGGCGTCCGCCCGTTGGGCCACCTGTTCTGCCTCTGTTGCTGGGTGTTTATACCAGCAGTGCTGCCCAGCCTGCACCTTAACACAGGGCCCCTTCCCTGTGTAACTAGTACACAAGTCAGTGCAATTCACATGGCCCCTTTACACACTCTCCGTAATCTGCTCTTCACCCACTTCCTGGTATCCCTGCCGACCCAGCTCCTGGTTTACAGCCACCACTACACTGGCAGGCGGGCTCAGCCGCGGTCCATCGCGGGCCCCTCACCGTGAGGCGTTCCCAGTCCCGGGTTTACTAGGATCTGGGAGCCTGCACCCACTGGGCTCCGACTTGCACTCCTCTGGTCGTGGAAGCCGGGAACCCCCGATTGCCACCCTTCCCATGCCGCTCTGTTGCCCACACTCATCCTGCGCTCGCTGTCAACCTCCTCCTAAATTCCTTAGTAGGCTGTGGGTCAGCTGCCCATGCGCCTCTTGTAACTTCACGGCCGTGCACGTGAACAGTACCACTGCCGGCCAGGTTCACTCCTGCAACTCCTTGAACATCTGAGGCTGACACCGCGGCCTGGAGGGCCACCTCTAACCCGAACACCTGGAACTCGTGGGCCTGCTGCTGTAGCTTGAACACACTCGTCTCCACCCAGCTCCACGGCACCAGGTATCCAGCAATTTGCCCCGTGAAGTGTCCTTTGAGAAGCGTGTTTGGCTTTTGCCCGATGTATGCCCCAACATGCTGGTGTTGCGGCCCTGCAGAATCCATGCAGCACTCATGCAACTTCTCTTCCTCCCGCTCTGGCATAACACGGCTACGGGTTTACCGCCTGCAGTGCGTGGTGGCTTTGCGCCATTACTCTAACCTGGACCTCCGGGGCCTCCCACAGCTGGGATGTTGGGACTCGGCCAACAACCTCGTAATGCAGCACCTCCGGGCTGCCATGTTGTTTCCTTACGGCGGCCATGCACCTCTTGGATGGCCTTCTCCCGGACGCCACGGTTCGCCTGGGGCTGCTCTTCCAGGCCAGTGGCTGCTGCCGGATACAGGGCTCCCGCTCCCGCATTGGTGAGCTGCGTCTCCTGGGCCTAATCCTCAGCCAAGGGTCTGACTGCTGCCATTTATCCTCCCGTCCTTCCCTGGCTTCCGCACCCCAGGGGTGGCTTCCATGCCTTCCAATCTGTGACTCAGGAAACCGCGCCACCATTCGCTTCTCCTCTTCCACCTGTTCCTCTTAGCCCTGGCTTGGGATGTCAGGACGACCTTCCGACCCTTGGTACCCGTTGCCCCGATTCCTGCCCTCACCGACGGGCCTCCACAACTGCACCTCATCCATTGCTGCTGTCCGAGTTATCTCCCCTTTCTGGCTCCAAGTCCTCCTCGTCCACTTCTGGCCCCATGCACTCCGTCTGGGTGCTCCACTACACGAGAACAATCCCGCTGGGGTTGGTCCTCCGGCGGACACAACACAACCTACCAGCCCAAAGCAACTC